AGCTGCAGATGCCTCTGAGTGCAAAGCTAGGACCAAAATTCCCACAGTCCCAACACAACTGGGACTTAGAATCTGATGATTCCTCGGCACAGCCAGGAAGGAGCGACTGGCAGGGCTCCTGTTCTACCTATTTAGCAGTCTCCTACTCCTACCACCTTCTTTTCTTCTCTCTTCCTGCCTTTCCATGGACCTGGTCTTCCTTTTCCTTTCAGCAAACAGGGGCATTAACACATCTTTCACTGTGCTAGACCAGCATTCTTTAAACTGGGGTACATGTTTGAGGCAAAGCTAACACTTCCCAAGGGGCTCATCATCACAAATGAAAGGAATCAGTTTCTACATCAGGAATTTCCAAAGGTACTTTTGTTTAAAAATTAATGGGCTTGGATCCATGATTGTGTTGGACATTCATCCGGTGATGATCTTGACAGTGATGGAAGAAAGTTGTTGTTCATCCTCTCCCCTTCACAATGGTTCTTCACCCGCTTTACAAAAGTAATGCACTTGTATTACCTTCTCTACATCTTTCTAAGATGCACTGCCCAAGGGTGCAAAGACCTTGGGTGGGGAAACAAAGAAACTAAAATGTTGATTCACGTTGTAGGGTGAAAGTCTCCAGTATGTAGGTAACAACTATTTCTGTAAGTTACGGAATTTCCAATTCTTTGTTTTAAAAAACAACCAGAAATCGGCTGGGCATGGTGGCTCATGCCTGTAATCCCAGCACTTTGGGAGGCCAAGGAGGGTGGATCACAAGGTCAAGAGATGGAGACCATCCTGGCCAACATGGTGAAACCCCATCTCGGGGGAAAAAAAAACAAAACCAACAACCAGAAATCATTTAATATGGAAAGTCTTATGATCAAAATAAATACAAAATACTAGATTTCGATCTATATACTTTTTTTTTTAGTTCAGAGAGTATGGCAGAGTGATCAATAGAACACTTTCAAGCATAAAAATATATTACACTGAGATAGAATTCTATACAGTGGAAGGGAAATGGAATAAGAATTTAAAGAGATAAAGAAAAGGTGTAAAATGTTTATCAAAAGACTGAATCTTGCATCTCATAAATTTTTTAAGCAAATGATATTGGAAATCAAATATATATTTTACTAGAGTTTTTAGAATGATGTCATACTTTAAAATATTTTAAAATATGCTGAGAAATTACATGCCCTGCAACTATTTAAACTTAGGATGAAAAGTTTTAGCATTTAACTGAAAAATGTGCTTAGGGACAGAGTTTCACCAAATCTTTTAGGAGGTATAGAAGCAAACAGGTTGTAAGAATGTTATTCTAACACAAGTCTTCAGGGTCTCTCCAAGATGAAATGAGGAGGAGAGAGAAACCGAACAATTTCCCACCCATCCAGTTTTGAGTGAGGATGGTTAGGGGTAGAGTTGGGATTGTCCTCTCCTTGGTCCTAAGCACATTTGCTGACCCAGGTTCTACAGCCAACAATTTATAAGACTGATGATCAATCAGTTAAAATATCTGATCTTAACTGCACTGCTGACTGGGCTTACTCAGCTGATGAGATATAGCTTATCAAATCTCCAAAGGAGAATTGCTGGAGTACCCTTCTTAGAGTTCTCCAGAAAAACTTATAGGACAATATTCATAAAGATTCACTTATTTTGTATTTATCTTATCAAACAAATTTCACCATTAAGGATGTAATACTGAATGCATCTATCTACCTGGAACTTCAGGAGTGACATTTATAATGCAAAGAATTGGAGAATTCTTTACATATTGTGTAGTTAATATTTTAAGGATGGCAAATGTCCTGAAGAGTCATATCAACAGACATCTATATTACTAGGCCCTCAAACCCCAATGTTTTCCTTGTTTTCTTCTATTCTGTAACCTCTTCTTCCCCATTGCCTCTTGCCTCTTTTCAGCCACTCCTTTGGCAAGTAGAAAGTCATATGTATGATGAATGAGGCGAGCATTTAATTTGGTGTCTATACTGTTTTAAAAATATTGACGTTCCGGTCCTCAAGCTCTCAGAGAGACAGTGAACCTATTTAGAGCAGATGTCAGAACAACTTCAACTCCACTCTCCTTTAGTACTAGGAGGTAGCCCAGCTTGAGATAAGAGGTCAGTCTTAAGAGTCAGAAGGTCAGCTGGAAAACCCACTCCACCATTTACTAGGTGTGAGCCTTCAGACAAGTCATTTTCTCTGAATTTTAGGTTCCTGAAATTCTTAAAAATTGTGTTGCTGAGGATTTGATACAATACATATTATACATCTAGAAATGTACCTGCCCATAGTAGGCTAGGCTTTCTGATAATCAGTAGTTGTGAAATTAGATTTTTAATGTTCTTTAACAACTATTTAAAATTAGCCAATCATTTCCTCTTGGCATAATGTCAACTATTGGTATGTTTTTCAATTTTGTTCTAGTCTCTTTAAAAACAAGTGATTTGGAAAATGACAACCTTCCATGTCTAAGTATAGGGTGGGCGTGTGCATGTGCAAAATGCACCTGCAGTACTAAAACTGGGGAAAAGACACAGGATGAGGACAGCACAAAACTTAAGATTTCACCTATAACATTTATAAATATGCCAGCATGTCCTCAACCAGTCCTAAACTGCTCTGAAACACGTTTAAAAATATGCACAGAATCTATGATTTGACTCTTAAAATCTACCCAAATTAAACTGCTAAAACAACACTTTTCGCCATAAAATTAGCAAAATTACAAAATTTTTTTTGTAAATACTTAATAATTTAAGGGTGTGGGCAGGCTGATATCCCACAATGCTCATGTTGGTATAAATGAGGATTTCCTTCAGTCTCTAAAGCAATTGGACAATGTGTATCAAGGATTTTAACAGGACTGACATGCTTGTTCAGCAAAGTAAAAATATATTCTAACTAAAAAAACCCCAAATGTATGTACAAGAGTATTCATTATATCACAATTTTTAATAGCAAAAAACAATATAGCTTAATAATGTCCCCACAATAAGGTATGAAATTACATGCTACAGCTTAGCCCATGGATCTTCGGCAGTTATTAAAAATGATGTTAACAAAAATATTTAAATGAGATGAGATTGTTAAGTTAAAGAAGCAAGACATAAAGCGGTATCAGGCTATGATTCCAAATATGTGTTTGCCACTCTGAGTCTCAAGTGGCAATAAGGAAATAAGATAAATTTACAATGAGGAATTGGAATCACACGTGGTGACCAAAATCCATTCCACAGCTTGAAAGGACACAGTGTTAAGACTTGCTACCCACGTCCTCATTTTAGTACGAAGTGTGGGATGAAAACACTGCTGATTCAGATCCTTTTTATGAATGGCAGGGATAGAAAAATGGGAAATAAAACTAAACTTCATGTCTCAAAGTGATATTCCACCCCTTTAAACTTTGTTTAATGAAGCTTTTGAGTGACTTTTATACCACAGGCAGTAATGCTCTCTGCCCAGCTAGCAAATTTGGCAGTGTTCAGAGATGAGAGAAGGTCAGAAAAGGTGAGGACTCACAATATTCCAATATACACAATTTTGGAGGAGGAAATGAAACGCTGTTAATACAAACACAGAGACCAATTCAGGTCTACAGATGCTATTTAAAGCACACAATATTTTCTCACCCCCACTCTAAGCAGAGACACCTCAACACACCACCTGCGTATACCCCCTTCAACAGCTACTGTGATCTGCACTTCATTACTAGTTTAAAAACTTCTAGCTTATTCCCAATGCACCCTACTACCACCAACAATCAAACATGGATAGCAAGCAGGCCAAGATGGTCTTCCAGCTTTCACGAACTTTCCTGCATTTGTTTTCACATTAGTGATACAAACGTCTAATCAAACCCCACAGATAAGAAACAGAATAAAAATTCCTTTGCATATGTATACATCTCATGTTACCTACTTTTACTCCAAAAAACAAGAAGTAACCCTAATGCCTGTAACTTGAAATGACATCTGTCTGCTTAGTGTTCTTCTGACCTGGCCTGTATAGTCACAGCTCTGTCTGCCTGCCTGCCAGCCTGGGCCCGGGTACTTCCACAGCTGCTCCACAGCAGGGCAGGCTTCTTTCTGCAAACAGTCTAAAATCGCATGAAGCCAAAGCCCACAGAAGTTATAGTGAAAGCAAGAGAAGACCAAACACACCTAAATTGCCACCTTACCTGTCATCAGTCTCAAATTGAAAGGTGTCTACTTGCTTGACAGTATGCGCAACTATGTGTATGCAGCTGTCACAACGCAGAATAAACAGTTGGGGGATGGAGGTTCAGTGGGTTTCTGGTGGTCAGTTTCAGGAAATACACCTTAGTTCTGAGCTCAGGTTCCGAATCAATACGTTTTGGTGACTTATTTTTTTTTCCAGGCTGGATATGCGCTAACCTAATAATTAACCTTAAGCATACCATTACTTCTGCTAAAAACATTTTCTACATACAGCCCTAAATTACTTTCAGTTGGGTTAAACGAAACAAACAAGCTGTAATACAAGGTCTCTGAGAAATGTGATCCTTTTCAGTGGTCACCCAGGAGCTTTTCCTCTTAAATCTGTTTGGCGGGGGATGGGGAAGATAGGGAGGAGAGCACCCAAATCAATATGCCACCCAGAGCACAATGATATTCTCAAGAAAGTTGCCTAAGATAACTCTTCAGGGTTTCCCTGGTTGAGTAATTCTTGCAGGAGGGTGGGGAGGGATCGCTGGCGTCCAAGATTACTATCTGCAGAGGTCTTCCTATGGTGACTATTTATTTATTTATTTATTTTTAGGGCGTCCTTTTAAATTAGACTGCAAGGACTGGTTTCCACCTCCCCGGCTGCTGCTGGGGGGAGTTGAGAGAACGCGCCAGGACTGCGGCAGCCGCTCGGGCCAACTCCGGCGCTCGGGGGCAGACAGCCCACTCTCCCCGGGTCCCACCCTCTCCAGCACACGCGCGCACACCCGCGTGGAGATGGCTGTCCTCGCCCGTCTGCCCCGCGCCCCGGCCGGGACTCACCGTTGTCCAGCCGCGCGATCTGGGGCAGCCGGTAAGTGCTGACCAGCAGGTCGAGCGGCATCGCCACCGAGCTCCACTTCACATCCTTGAGGCTGCAGCCCAGCGAGGGCGCCGGGTCCATCTTCCCCGCCGCCTCCTGTCCCGCGCTGCCCCGCCGCCGCCGCCCGCACCACCCGCGCCTCGGCGGCTGCCGCTGCTCGCACTCACGGTCTGGGGCGCGCGGGAGGCGCTGGGCAGCTCCAGCCGCGGACAGCCGGAGGGGCGCGGCGGCTGGGGCGGCCCGGAGGAAGGGGGCCGGCGCCCGGCTCAGCTGCCGCTGCGGGGCATGGCTGGGGCGCCCCGCGTGCCCTCAAGCCCGGAGAGGACTCAGAGCAGCCCAGCGGCTGCGGGCAGCGGCGGCGGCCCGGGTGGCTGCGGCGGCTCCCACTCCGCCTCCTCCTCTGGCCCCGGCTCTGCAGCTGCGGCGGCCGCCCTCTCGCCTCCTCCTCCTCTTACCCCTCCTTCCCTCCGCCTCTAGAGTGTGAGGAGGAGCCGCGGGTCTGAGAAACGCCATAGCAGCGCTCCCAGCACTGACTAATCAACAAGGTGCGAGCAACGCCTGCGCAGCTCCGGGAGACACCGCCTCCGCCTCCCCGGCGCCGCCCGCTCCGCCCTCCGCTCGGCCCCCGCCTCTCGCGGCTCCCGCGGCCGGGCGGGCTCCGCGCGGCGTCAGCTTCCCGGCCAGGGCCGCCGGCGACGGCGGCTCGGCGCTCTCCTCAAGCTTTAGCTCTCGCTCCCCCGTCCGACCGCTCGGGGGCCTTGCAGTCTCACCGGGTGCCGCTGCGCCCCGACTCCTTCCCAGTCCAGGCCCGTTCCCGGAACCCGGGAATTGCGGAGCTACCGCAGGGACCGCTCTCTGAGTCGTGGTGTCGGGCACCGTCCGCCTCCATTCCCACCCTGGCCATGGAGTGGCTAAATACAGGGCACAAAAGAGACCTTTAGTGGCGCTCCCTCTCACTTCCCGGTGGCCCAGACTTTGGTCAGGAGAGTGCCACAGCCCAATGGGGCTGGGGACGGCAGGCGCGGAGCCCGCCTTGGCGTTTCCCTCAACCCTACTCCACTACCGTCGAAGCTGGAAATGGCTCCCACCAGCCTCAGCTTTGGCTGCTAGGCAAGATAAAAAGAACAAAGCATCGAAAAGCAGAAAGGTGGTGAGTGGTCAGTACCCACACCCAGGAATGTGGCCATTCGGTCTAGAACCTTCACTGAGTGAGCTGCTGGAAGCGGCGAGAGATGAGGCCACCGAACACCACAGACGCGGAGAGGGGAAGGGAGAACTAGGTTATTGGGAGGCTGCTGGGGTCCACTCTTTTCACCTGCTTTTCCCACTCAATTATCTTCTCATCTTAAACGTTGGGATCATTCACGTTTTCTCGGTATGTGTTCCAAGACAAGATTGCACAACTCGTAGTTGGCGGTGCTGGGCTTCCAACCTGCAGTTTGCTTTGCACGGTCAATCATTATCTCTCCCAAGGGTTGTCGTGGCCTGCTCACTGTGGACAGAGCTCAGAATATAAAGGTGGCACATCCTACCTTGTATGCTAATATTTTTTCTTTTAGCTTAACATTTTGTTAAAATAGCAGAGGTGAGTGGTTGCTAAGGTCGCACATTAGCTCTGTTTTCAACACGTATTCAATGTTCAGTGCTTGATAAGGTACAGCAAGCACCTGCTTAGCCAGCCCAGGAGACTTGAAAACATCCCGCTGCCTTTTAGTGGCCTGACTTAAAAGGTCTGTGCTAATAAACCATTAACATTTAAAGAAAAACACAGATTCTTCTACCGCCGCCTTCCTGGTCCTCTCACTTTGAAGCATCAGCGATAATTTTCACAAAATTCTGAAAGTTTTGACCTTTGGGTCATTAGCATTGATTTTTTGAAAAAGTGGTGGGAAGAAGTGCGAAGTATTTTAGTAGTGTATGCAGAATCAGAGGTCCATAAAGTTCTAAGAGTTGCTCACATAGAATCTTTCAAAACCTGGAAGAGTTAAGTGCCAGCTAATTTTTTTCTGAATGATTAATCATTTCTGGAAATAAAGCTCAGACTCCAAAGATGACACAGGAAACATATAAGATTGGGCAGGGTCAAGGGTCTTTCAACTAGTAAGTAGATCCTAAACCCTTATGTGGTAGATTGATTTTTTAAAAAAATAACTTTGTTACTTTTATATTCTCTTTAAAAGCTTCAGAGAATAAAAGTAGTTTCCTCTCACAAAAGGACTGGTGACTTATGACCTAAAGACAAGATAAAAAGTAAAAAGATTAATGTAATCAACTTTTAAAAAATCAATAAAGGGCTTACATTAGATCTGTTATTGCTGACCTTGCAGAAGAGGTTTTATTTCAATCTTGAGTACTAAAAGGAAGAAGTTTTAATGAGCTGCAAATTCTTAGTAAGTTTTATGTTCTGGAAGAACTCTTACAGAGGAATCTTATTGGCAAGATGGAGAGTTTTGGTTAAACTGTCAAAAAAACAAACAAAACAAGCAAACAAAAAAACAGTTGAGAGGGGTAATCTTTCAATCTGGCTGAACTGTACTTCCAAACATGATCTTAAGGTTGTTGGAACAATGCAAACCCTGTATATAAAAGCATTGCAACTTGGTGCAGGGGCAAAGCTTGCATGACTTTGAAGTTTATGAAAAAGGAACATCTAAGAAAAGTTTTCTGTAAGGTAACGTTTGAGGTACTAGTCCCTTGTTCCTACTGAGTACCTTTACAAACTAAGATTTGTGAAAGGCCGCATATCATGGTGATTAAAAATATCAGCTCCAGAGCCAGGTGGCTTGAGTTTGATTAGTGGCTCTTCTATTTAGTATCATAAGAAACTTGATGTTTTCTCCTCTGAAAAATGAAGATAATAATAGTATTCATCTCATAGGGTTGATATAAGAATTTAATAATTTAACATACATTTTGCATTTAGAATAGTGCCTGGTACATAGGAAGTGCTATGGAAGTATTAATATTTGCTATTATTAAAATAAGCATTGGCTTTAAAGGGGCCAAATTTACAGAAAAGATGAAGAGATAAATGCTGATGATTTGAATAGATTTGAAAAATAAGAAATGATTAGATTTGAGAAAATAGTTATATCAGACGAGAAGTAGAGGAACCCTTCTTAAATGGGAAACCCAGCTGGGGACCTTCCCTGCTAATCTAGGGTCTGTGGGGTTAATTTATTCCACAGTGAACCAGCCTGCTACCCAGCAGACCCAGACAGTGTTCATGACGACTCTATATGCTATTGATAACCCGAAGGTGAATCAGGTAGATGATACTACAGGACTCAAGTGACCGACACTTGCCAGCTTCCTAACTGTGAGTCTATTGTTTATATGCACATAACTTGTTAATTCTCTGAATTATCAGCTTGGCAAGATAAAAATATTACATGTTGGCTTTCTTCATATCAGTGTCCTGGCTCACATAATATTCTAGTGGTCAAGTGTGATATTAAAGTTCACAGCCCTAGTGAATTTTTAGGTCTCCACATTTTTTTCCCTTTCACTTAATTGCCATGTGATCCCCAGATCTAACTTGAACGATACTCCCTGGCTAATACCTTTTGCCATATCTATATCCTCATTGTATAGGAAATTAAGTGTAAAGCCCTTTGCATGGCACAAAAGGTTCTTCTCTGATGTGGCTGGGTCTGCCTTCCTAGCTTCACTCCTGTTATCTACCTTTTAATGCCCTATGATGTGGGGTAACACCTTCTCACAGTTGCCCAGATGTGTCATGCTAATGCATACCCTTGTAGAGTTTGTTCTCTCAGCTTAGAATGTCTTTCTCCTTTTCTGTTACTGTGAAACCCTCATTCCACCTCCACCTTCCTGTATTCCATGAACTGTTGTGTTTCCTCCTCCAAGGAGATCCTTTTTTTCTGTGTTACCATTGCACCTGCAATACCATCTTTTGACTGTACTAATTGTGCTATGATTAATTATCTTCCTATGTTAGCTTTGCCTACTAGACAACAATTGACTGTAGACACAAAAAGTGTATTTTTTCACCTCTGTTTTGCAAGCTCCTATTACCATGCCTGGCACACAGCAAGTCCTCAATTAATGTTTGTTGAGTTGAATAATCAATGCACCAAGTCATCTTCTCACTCTATATTATTTTGTAGGTCACTGCAACTCCTTTTTCCCCCAAGCCAAATGGTATACACCTTTTAAATTTTATTTATTTTATTTTTAATTTATTTTTTGAAGCAGGATCTCACTCTGTTGCCTAGGCTGGATGCAGTGGCACTATCATGGCTCACTGCAGCCTTCAACTCCTGGGCTCAAGTGATTCTCTTGCCTCAGCCTCCCAAGTAGCTAGGACTACACTCATGTGCCACCATGCCTGGCTAATATTTTTTATTTTTGTAGAGATGAGGTCTTGCTACATTGCCCAGGCTGGTCTTAAATTCCTTGGCTTAAGCAATCTATCCACCTAGGCCTCCCAAAGTGCTGGGAGCCACCACCCCTGGCCTTGTATCCAGCTTTATTAAGATACTTTTCATAAACAATTATGGTATTTCAGGCAGGACATGGACAGTTATTAAGAGTATACAACAGCTTTCAAATTCTCTCCTTCAACAGACTACTCAAATCAGAAAGCCACTCTAAAACCCAGATGAAGTCTTCATTTGATTCCCTGAGCAGGGAAAGTTTAGATGAAGGGTTGACATTTCACATTTAGCATGTTCAGCAACTTTTCATGAGTGAACCCTGACTTTCAGGAAATGAAAAGAAATGGTGGAATATATCTGATGAGCCACAATCTAGAACTGGAACTGCTGCTTTCTTGAGGGATGTCATCTCAGTGGTATCACTGGAAAGTCCAGATTGCCTGGCACACTGGTAACTGATTTTGGGAGGGTCCAGTGCCAACAGGTGTCTGGGTTTAAGGGAGTTAAGTCTGTGCTGAAGGCAGAGAGCGAGACGAGGACATAAAAATGCATTTTAGTTTTTCCATGCCACCAGGCATTTGTGCCAAGGTGGCTATGTGTGTCAACCTCAAGGTATCCTTCCTTCTGGAAGTCAAGAGGAAGTCTCAAAACTAGAAGGGAAAGATGTTTTCCCACATCAATCCAGCTTCAGGAACATTCTATTAGTAATATATGCCCCTTCCTCAGAAAACCACAATGAAGTGTTTGGTGTTCTGACAACATAGCCTAAAAAAAAAGGAAAACAAAATTCTGCACTTTTATATAATTTGGTAAAAATCCTATTTCACCCTGCCCTCACCAGAGTACACAGTTATCGAAAATGTGCATAGTTCACTTGGTTTCTGCAGTGCCTCAGCTTCCTGTGCCTGGTCTGTTTAGGCATCTTCATTTTCTGCAGGGTTATTCCCATTCTTGCTAGCATCAAGCATGCTTTTTTCCTTTGGGTACCTTCTCTTACTTCTTTGCAAGGGCTTTTTTAGGTTTGGGCTCTGGCTTAGGAGAAACAGATTTAGCAGACAACCTTCAAGTATCCTGTGGTTCATCCTTCATCTAGACTTTATCTTTTTTTTTTTTTTTTTTTAAGATGGAGTTTCAC